CCCCCCCCCCCTCAGAGGAAGGAGGGCGACGGGCAAAGCCCCAACCCTCCTTAAGCTCGTTAAGCTCATTAATCCGCCGGCGCTAATTAATGCCCCGCTGCTAATTAAAGGGGGGGGATAATAAGACAAACCCCCCCCCCTTCCCCCTCCCCTGTGGGGGCGGAACGAGGTGGCTTCACCCCCCTCTCTCCCCCAGAGGAGGAGGAGGAGGAGGAGGAGGAGGAGGAAGGAGGGGAAATGGAGAGGCCCAGAATGATCAAAAGGAGAGAAAGCGCCCCAAAAGCGGGGGGCGAGCGGGGGGGGGAAGGTCCCGACCTGTCCTCAGGGTTAGGGGGGATGCCCAGGTCTCCCGTGCGCAGTTTGCGAGTCAGGTCTTCGATCTGCAGTTGGACTGGAAGAAACCCGGTTAGGACAGAAAAAAGGGTGGGAGAAAAGACACCAGTTACCAAAAAAAGCACATTTTCACCCCCAAAATCAGGCATTTCTAGCAGGAAAAGCACATCATTACCAAAAAAAAACCACCATAAACCAGGCATTTCTAGCAGGAAAAGCACATTATCGCCAAAAAAAAAGCAGACATCGTTACTCTAAAATCAAACATTATCGTCCTACGATTAAAGGTTGTTATGAAAAAGCACATATTATTACCTAAAATCCAACATTATTACCTAAAATCCAACATTATCACCCTAAAACCAACCGTCGTTATGAAAAAACAGATGTTACTGCCCTAAAATGCAACGTTATCGCTCTAAAATCGACCATCGTTACAAAAAGACAGGTGGTTATTATCCTAAAAAATCAAACATTATTGCCCTAAAACAAAACGTTATCACCCTAAAAATAAACCATCGTGACGAAAAACAAGTGTTTTTGCCCTAAAAATCAAACATCGTTGCCCTAAAATCAAACGTTATTGCCCTAAAATCAAATGTTATTGCTCTAAAAATCAAGCACTTTGTGAAAAACAGGGATTATCGCCCTAAGAATTAAACATTGTTACCCTAAAACCACACGTTATTGCCTTAAAATCAAAGATTATCATGAAAAACAAGTGTTATTGCTCTAAAATCAAACATTGTTACCCCAAAATCAACCGTTATCAAGAAAAACAAGTATTATTATCCTAAAAACTTAAACATCATCCTATAATGAAACATTGTTATGAAAAAACAGGTATTATTGCCCTAAAATGGAACATTGTTACCCTAAAATCAACCGTTGTTATGAAAAACAGTTATTATTGCCCAAAACCAAAGGTTATTGCCCTAAAACCAAAGGTTATTGCGAAAACCTGGGTGTTATCACCAAAAGGAAAAGTTATTGCCCTAAAACTGGAAATTGTTCTGAAAAACCACCAGGTTTGGGGTTTTTTCCCCCCAAACTGGACATCGCTGCCCTAAAGTCGGGCGTTTTGATGGAAAAACCAGACGTCGTTGCCCAAAATCCACCTTATTTCCCCCAAAGCAGACACTGGCACTAGGAACCTGGGCGCTGCTATGAGAAAAAGTGGGAATTATCACCAAAAATCCACATTATTGCCAAAAAAACCCAGCTCTTTTCAGCAGTGACAGCACATCGGGACCAATTCTTGTGAAAGAACTAAAAATCCAAGGATTGTCACCCAAATAAAGAGATCGTTACTAAAAATACACATTATCACCTAAAAATCCACATTGATGCTTTAGAAATGCATGTTATTACCCAAAGTGCACATTTTGACCCAAACATGACATTATTGTGTTAGAAACAGACCTCAGTGCTTTAAAAGCCCCGTTATTACCTTGGACACGGAGGGTTTGACCAGAAAAGGTGCGTTATTGCCCCAAAACGAGACCAGAAAAAAAGCAGGTTTTCACCAAACCACCTGAGATTGTCCAAAAAATGACATTTTTTCCCCCAAAAAGGAGGCTGTTGCCAAAACCCTGGTGGTTCCTCCCTGAACCGGCCCGTGGCCACCTCCAAAAGCACAACGTTGCCTAAAAAGTGGGATTTTCGCCCCAATCTGCGGTTGGGGGGAGGGAGGATGAGGAGGAGGAGGAGGGGAGGGTGTGATTGAGGGGCAGGAATTGGGCCCAAACTCCCTGGTTTTAGGGGGAGCAGGGGGGGTGTCGGTGCCCCCAGCCCTGGCGCGGGGGCGGGGTTTTTGCCCTAAACGGGGGTTTTTGGCCCCAAAAGGCGTTACCGATGTAGGCGCGCTCCTGCTCGCGGGTGAGCCCGGGGGGGATGACCGTGGGCATCCCGGGGATCACCGTCTTCTGCTCCAGGGAGTCCTGGTTCCAGCGGCTCCGCTTCCGCTTCCGGGGGAAATCTGGGGGCAAAAAGTACGATTTTGGGGG